TAGCACCGAGAGAGGTGTGCACTACACATTACATAGACAATCTGTGGTATGCAACAAAACCCAGGCCACAAAATCGGAATTAGACACTCCTGTCTGCCTCAGAGAGGCAAAAGCATAGTGGGCCGAACGGGCACGCCAGCGGGGACCACAGAGCTGCTGGAGCCCACGCCCAGCTTCCGGGATTATTTTTGCAGGCAAGCCAAGCAGAGAGTGGCAAAGCTTCAGTCCTCGCTCTCTTGCCAGGGGAGTTGAGGAGACCATAGGGAAATGTACAAAACCGGGAGGAACAGGCATTGGGCGCTTGGTCACCTTCAGGAAGGCAAAGACAAAACACTGCTCGTGGAAACAAAAACAGTTTCCATCAGTACGTCTGGGGTACAGAACAAGACGGCTGAGTTTTATTTGTAAGCAGTAGAAATCAAAGGAAGTCTCTTGCCAGTGAAAGGACATATTCCAAAGTGAACTACAAACAGGTGTGAAAAAGCTGGGGAAACTGAAGGGTGGGAGAAGACATTATACAGGTCATCTCAAGCCTCGACTCAGCAAGGTAGGGAACGCAGTCCCTGGGGCTGCCAGGTGGGTGGCGAACACACCTAAGTTGGGCAACACACCCTTGAACCAGACACAGGGATCAAGTCACAGGGATCCTGGTTGAGCTGCTGTACAGACAGATTTACTTACACGATTCACCACGCCTAGGACAGTGTCTGGCACACAGGCATTCAGGAAGTGAATACTGAATGAATAGTTTCCTGTGCATTGTAAAGTTTGATTTACTTGATCTGCAAAAAATATACAACTATGCTACGGAGAAATCCAAATTGTGGCTAACAACATGTCTGACTAATCTTGAGAGAATGAGAATATATTGGCAAATTATCTGGATAAAGTTAAGATCATGTTGATAGAGATCTCTGGTTCAGATTAAGATTCGCTAGCAAATACCTGGGATCAGTACTGCGACCGACTCTGGTCATTTCCAGGTAGGCGTCAAAATCTGTGATTCAGAAACACGAAACTCCTCCCATCTTCTACCTTTTTCCCTACCTCTCCTTCCTCACAGTTCCATACCCTGAGGTAGAAAGGGAGGCGGCAGAGGGCCTGGCCAAGGGCTTCGGTGTTCGCAGTCCTGTTCTCTTAGGAAATGTGGCCCGCATGGCACATGTTCAAGAATCCACAAAGCACTTCTCCATCAGCTCCAAGGTGACCCACAAAATGGGGTCAAACCCAGACTTGGTGGCTTAAATGGTCAAATAGGAGACAGCACTTGGAGGCCCTGCTTCCTCTAGCCCGGAAGGACTAAGGAACATCTGAGGTACGGAACTGTGAGAACCTCACTCCTCACCACTTTCCTTACCAAGGAAGAGTAGACCGAGCAGATGCTTGGCCTCATACAACAGCCCAGTGACTTCCAAATGCTGGCAACAGCAAGCGCTTTAAGGACACGAGAAATAAATCATACTGAGCAATACACACACCACAGGTTTGCAAATGTAATTTTTCTGGCAGGTATTTTGGGGTGTTTTCATAACAGCTCTCTGACTAATGCCTACGACACGACTCTAGCACAGCTAAGATGGCCCTGGCCGCCACGGAGGCTTTGGCCACACAGACACACCACACAGTTCACTGCGAGCTGCTTTTACCCATTAATGAGGTCAAGAATGCTTGCTAATCACCTAGCAGGGAACTCCCCTCGCCTTAGCTAAGTCACAGACATTTTCCCCAGCCCGAGGCTCAGCGCCCTCCGTCCTCTCTGAGGAGCAGCGCGAGAACAGTCTGGAAGGGAGAGTAAACATTGCCACGCTTGTCACTACGTCCACTCCCTGCCTGTGTTTCTCAGAAGCAGGAGAGTCACGTTCTAAACACTATCCCTACACCTTGAACTTTCTTCCTCAGTCACCTGTAACCAGCAGCCCTGCCAAATCGGCAGCACCGGGCAGGCAGCCTGCTGAGGGGAAACAGGAAGCGACCCCTGCCTTTGCGTCACCTTCCCACGACCTTCACCCTGCCCTAGTTTCAGTCATCCGTGGGGGTGGACAATGTAACACCTACTGATAAGAAACTAAATGGGGCCACACGTTTCTAAATAGAAGATTCTATGAGAAAATGACTTAAATTTAGCAGACACAACTAAATGTATTGTCATTAAGGCCAAGGTTTTCTTGTGTTTTTTGTATTTCTTAAAAAATATTTTCACAAATGTTGTCCATTGCTGAAGTCCAGGTTAAGCTTCTATAGCAGATGACAACTCTCAGAATTTGGAAAAGAACACATTTACCTGAAGTTCCAAATTGGTCACTGACTGACCTTGGGAGGAATAGCAGGAGGACAACTCCCACAGACATTTCTAAGCACAACCGGGAGATTCCCTCCGCAGCGGCTGGGAATTGCCACTGTGCGCTAAGCCCTGCCTGCCTTCCTCACCGGCTCATGGTCTCACAGCCAGTGAGCCACACGCCTGGGGCTCCAGGACCCCGGGCATGGCACTGGCCACGCAGAGGAGAGGCACGCACAGGATTCCTCCACTAAAAGAAACCAAACCAAAGGGTACCTGGAACACTGAGGACCAAGACAGATGAGAAGCCTCTAATCAATTTTGTGGCCTTTTTTTTGTTGGTTGGTTTAAAAAAGAGAGAGAGAGAGAGAGAGAGAGAGAAGAATAAAAGGAAAGTGCAGTGAAATTTACTCTTTCGCCTCAGCCAGTTTATTGTTCATCTCTTTACTTTGCTCCTTGTCGTCGGGTTGGGCTTGGGCGGCGCTGGGGCCCTCCGCGCTCTTTTTCTTGAAGGCCCGGCCCGACACCACCTGCTTGTCTTTGGCCTTCCTCGGGGCCTTGTGGCTCGCTGAGGTCTTTTTTGGTTTGGAACTCTGAACACTAGGTTTTTCCACCTGCACGGAGAGACAGACAGACGGAAAATATGGAAATACAAAAGGAGAGGGAGTGGGAGAGAAAATTTAGAGAGAAGACACAATTAAAAAGGATAAT